TTTTTTTTTTTTTTTTGCATTTTTTAAATTTATAGCTATGGGAAAAGGGGAGGGGTTGGGAGGGAAGGCAAACTGTGCGCCAGCGAAGCGTACGTCAGATCGGCTAGTTTTTGAAGGAGCGAAGTTCGGCAGAAGTCACGCAGTTCTAGAAATCCAGTGGAATTTTGCGGGCATGAAGCACAATTACCTCCTTTGTAACAGTTATATCTTTCTCCGTAATTGCCTTCCATAAAAACGCAGACTTTTGGAAGTTGTGCACGCTCCTCCCTGCATTTTTCCCCGCCTACTAACAAGTATATTTAAAGGCGGATCCAATGGAAGGGGAGGGGGGAGAGGAGGGGTGGAGGCGAAGGGCTTTTCGGCACCAGTGCTGCAGAAGCCCGGGTCTAAAGCTAAAACTAAAGTAACTCGAAGTAGCAGTGTTACAACTCTTTTTTTACTTTTTGCATAGTTCTAGAGTGGAAAAAGATTCTTCTCCCCACCGTCTGTACGCCCCTGTCCCAGAAGCCCCACTCTTCTTCCCTCTCCCCGGCCCAGGATTCCGTCCTGGATCCGCCTATAAGTATATTTTATAGTTCTAGGAACTGCTTCTCTCTTGAAATATACATCGTCTTGGTGTATTCTACCTGGTCAACACCACACATTTACAAATAGCAATTAAGAAACTCGGAATGGACCGTGATTTTAAAAGTGGTTTTGGAGTTCTTTTTTTCGTTTGGCTTGCGTAGTTCCGGGACAACCTTTGTTGCTAAGGGCAGAAAGGGTGAGGGAAGGAGAAGGACGCGAGGAGAAGAGAGTTGTGGGAGGAGGGGGACACTGGTGGCAATGTGGCCAAACTTTTACAGTTCGGAATTATTGATTCTACTTCCGAAATTTTTCAGGTATCAAATGAATGCTCAATCTCCAGCACTAAAACCTGAAACAAAAATTATGCAGCAGGCGGCAATAAACTATCCAGCATACCGCTTGGCCAGTTATTTTAAGCAACCAGTTGAACCTTTGCAGGTGAAAAGCTGTTATGAGTTATGTTCATTATGGCTAAAATATGAGCTGTTTAGTGCTCTTTCCATGATTCTGCATGTCTCTTCCTATCGGCGACGATCACTTTTTTCGGAAGTTTATGAATTGCTAGTAATTAGAACATGTAGCGATGACGTGGATGTACTGCACCAGATATTTTTCTTGGAAAATGAGAACTGAATATAAAAAGATGATGGCCAGAACTCGTCAGCAAAACTTCCCCTGGAAGCTTATTGGATCGCAAAGTCTTATCTCGCTCTTGCTTTCTTTTCTCATATTTTTCTCTCTTTCTGTATTCTATCGCACCTTCGCCACTTAGGCTTCTCGGGGTCAACCTGGATGCTGCAATCGGCTCACCAGGAGGTGATGCGGCTTTGGTTAGGTGTGGAAACAGATATGCTGTATTCCAAAAGCAACGTGAATGAGCCTCTACTGTGTGAATCAGCAGCTAATCAAAATAAATTGAAAATCCAGTAATTTGGATTTTTGTTCAGTAATTCAGTAATATACTTAATCACTGCCTGACGCGAACTTCAATCTTTGTGGAAAACTGAACCGCAATTTTGGTTGTTTTATATCTAGCATAATGAAGTATTAGTGCTTAAATTATTTAAGAAAAGAAAAAATGAAAGAGAGAGAGAGGGTTGGATGGGTATATAAGGAAAGAGTAGAAGACATAAGTTAATTTGACGACGATTGTTTCGGTCCATGAAGTCGCATACATTCCTTTTCTGGATCTCATCAATAAGACTGTAAAACACTGGAATCAAATAGGAATTATTAACGGTTCTTTTCAGGTATGGTTACCACCGCAGCCAGTACCACCTCCAGTAAATCGTTTTGTTATGGTAGAGCATGAAAATAATCTGAAGCAGCAGCAGTTTTCATTTAATCGTGTGCCCTGTGCTGCATCAAATTTCACAGAAAGAGCCAACGGGCTGAACTATTGGTAGGTCCCCTACTGAATAATAAGAAATAATGGTATTGTCCGCATATGCCTAAGCAGAGAGAGAGCCTGTTTAGCGGTTCAAGGATAATAGGTGAATCCAAGGGGGAGGGGGGTGGGGGTGGGGAGGCGAAAAGCCTACTACAAAAGTCTGGATCTAAAGCTAAAACTGAAGAAAACTCTCTTCCGCACCATTCGTCGCCCCCCTCCAAGAGCCTCACTCCCACCGAAGGCCGTCCTGGATCCGCTTATGGATATTTCGCATTGAAATATATGAATTGTTTGATCCGGACAAGTTTTTTGCGGCTCCAGCAGTATATGTTTTATAATTTTGCTAATTTTACAAATTTTCTAATTTTCTCATTCTTATTTCCTACCTTCTTTTTTGTTCCTTAATCTCTTTTTAATGTACCTTTCTGTTATAGCGTCCCGTTGAATATGGTTCGAAAAATGCCGCTGTTTGATCGAGCATCAGTTTCGTCGTCAAGCGTTCCGAGCAGTGGTGAATTCAGCTCACAGAACCATTCGCCCTAATTTCTTCAATGATTTTTCAGCTGAAGCAACGATTATAGCTCAGGTAGAGTGTTTTTAAAAGTCAAATCGATAAATCTTAGTATTTTTTTTGCATTTAAGTTTTCTTAGCTTGCTTCTAAGCAGCCCTCGAAAAAGGAATTCGCCGACAG